CCTGGAGTGGAACTAGCTCTTGTAGACCATGCTGGCCTTGAGCTCATGGAGCCCAGCCTTTTTGTTTTGTTTTTGAGACAGGATCTTTCTCTATATAGCCCTGGCTGTCAAGACCAGGCTGGCCTTGAACTCTGATCTGCTGCCTCTACCTCTGACCTTAGAGGTTATGCCACCAAGCCTACCTCACTTGCCCTTTCTATTACTCTGGGATTAAACTCAGAATATTTTCTGAGAGGGCTGGAGAGATGGCTCAGAGGTTAAGAGCATTGCCTGCTCTTCCAAAGGTCCTGAGTTCAATTCCCAGCAACCACATGGTGGCCCACAACCATCTGTAATGAGGTCTGGTGTCCTCTTCTGGCCTGCAGGCATACACACAGACAGAACATTGTATACATAATAAATAAATAAATATTTTTTAAAAAAAGAATATTTTCTGAGTTTTGGAAATTTTTTATTCATAAATGCTGTTAATGATCACTGGTCCTGCTAATCCTCATAGGTCTTTGCCATTCATGCAAAATACAAACAGTCCAAATCAGAGCAGTATGGAGAAGGGTACTTATCCTTCAGTGTAACTTAGAGAAGAATCTGGTTATGTACTTCTTTTATTCACAAGTAATTTTCCATTGCCTTGTCTTTTAGGAGGAGAGCATTCCCATTGCTTTATCTGGTAGGGATATCTTAGCTAGAGCAAAAAATGGAACAGGCAAAAGCGGTGCCTACCTCATTCCCTTACTTGAACGGCTGGACCTGAAGAAGGACAATATTCAAGGTTAGTTGTACAAAGTGTGTGTGAGAGAGAAAAAGAGAGATAAACTGTCTTTTTATTCTTGGAGCTTTGTAGGTTTTACTCTTGGTCAGAATTTAAGCAATCCAAACTTGTTACAGTCGTTACTCTGTTCTTACAGAATTTGACTTAATTGTCTAAAAATGATTCTCAACTTTTTAAGGGGGTTTCCTGCTTTCAGGAGACTTTTGTCTGACACACAGTTGAACAGCCATGTGAGATAAGAAAAGTAAGTTTTGTTGCCCTATACTTAGGAAAACTGTGTTGTTGAGAGGTTCAATGAGTTGTTATTGGCCTGTGAAACTGAATTCCCCTGTGAGAACTGTGTAAAGCCAGGCTCTTTGTAGAAGTAGTAAGTGCTTCTCTTGTAAAGGCTTGAGCTCTGGGGATTTTAAGAGCTTAGACAGTGAAAAAGAAGCAAATTTCTATAGTTTCATCTGGAGTCAGTTCATATAATTAAGATTTCACCTCTAAAGCTTTTCTTAAATTTTCCAACTTTCAGTTTATAATTGTCTCACCTTACTTTGATATGATGTAAATAGAATCTGAGCAGGAGGTATTTACTACTAAAGTATTTAGATTAGTGAATCTCTTCTGTCAAACAAATGTAGTTTATGACACTTAGAAATATTATGTCTCATGATCTGCCTGCGTGATTAGACTTAATACCTCAGTAGAACTATTTTTATAGCTTCTTAAGCTTCTAAAATATGGTATGTTCTCTCCTTCCCCTTCCTCTATTCTTGGATATTTTCTAGCAATGGTGATTGTTCCCACAAGAGAACTTGCTCTACAGGTCAGTCAAATTTGCATCCAGGTCAGCAAACACATGGGAGGGGCCAAAGTGATGGCAACCACAGGAGGAACGAATTTACGGGATGACATAATGAGGCTTGATGATACAGGTAGGAAATGGTTAAAATAGCAGTGCTTCTGACTGATTGAGGCCACAGTGGCTCTTTTTTTTTTTTTTTAACTTATTAGACATTTTTAATTTTGTGGGTGTGGGGAGTGGTTCTGTGTGCAGGTGCCCAATGGTGAGGGCATTGGATCCCCTGGGGCTAGAGTTACAGGCATTTGTGCATCAACTGTTGTAGATGCTGGGAATTGAACTTGAATTCTCTGCAAGAGCAGTATGAATTCTTAACCACTAAGTCATCGCTAACCCCCAAGTGTTTCCTTTTAGGAAATAACTAAAAAATATTTTTAAGAATTAACATTGGGGGGCTGGAGAGATGGCTCAGTGGTTAAGAGCATTGCCTGCTCTTCCAAAGGTCCTGAGTTCAATTCCCAGCAACCACATGGTGGCTCACAACCATCTGTAATAAGGTCTGGTGCCCTCTTCTGGCCTTCTGCATACACACAGATAGACTATTGTATACATAATAAATAATAAATAAGTATTTAAAAAAAAGAATTAACATTGGGCCGGGCACTCGGGAGGCAGAGGCAGGCGGATCTCTGTGAGACCAGCCTGGTATACAGAGCTAGTTCCAGGACAGGCTCCAAAGCTGCAGAGAAACCCTGTCTCGAAAAACAAAACAAAAAAAATTAACATTGGGACTGAGGTTAGCTCAGCTGGTAAACAAACTGGATTTAGTGGCATTTCCCTGTAATTCTAGCACTGGGGAAATGAAAACAAGAGGTTCAAAAGTTGGAGGTCATAGTGAATTTGAGGCCAGCCCAGAGCACTTGATGCCCTGTCATAACAAAAAGATGAAGGATTAGAAGTGCTGCAGTAGAAAGAACAGTGACAACAACCATTTCTTTCAAGAGGAATAAATAGATAACTGAAAGGATACTCAGCATTATTAGTATTTTCAGGTTTTGGCTTTTTGAGACAGAGTCTCTATGGAAACCTCTATGCCTGTCCTAGAACTTGCTATGTAGACCAGGCTGTTCTCAAACCTCAAACTCACAGAGATCTGCCTGCCTCTGCCTCATGAATGCTGGGATTAAATATTTTTAATATTCATTAATATGGTTGAAAATACTGAATTTATATTAAAATTGTTCTAATTTTTCAAGACTAAGAAGTATTAGTTATCAGTAATGCCTGTCTGTGGAAAGTAGGCTGTATTATAGCATGAGTATACAATATACATAGTATAGTTCAGATTAGAAATTTAATATTTTCAAGTAACTAAACAGCATACACACAAAGTTGTTTACTCTGGTGTGGTTTGTGGTACTCAAAAAGAAGGTAAATTTATTTTGGAAGACTGGATAAATACAGTGAGGTATAGCCTGAGTGGAGTCTCACAAAGTAAATAAAGAATGCCTGACTTGTATTCAGTTTTTATGAAGGGCTCACCATGAATAATGCTGAGTGTAAAAGAGTTAATAAAATAGCAAGAGCACATGTAAAATCAGGCAAATTTGGTCAGAATGTTAATATGTATTATTTGTTATTTAGTTACTTGGTTATATTCTTTTAATTGTACAGTTTTTGTTTTTAGTAACTGTTGTTCCCCTTAACACAGTCTGGGCAGGATTGCCTAGGTATAAGGCCTGTCTTTATGTGAGAAACCCCGTGTTATGGCTGTTATTTCTTGCAGGTTGTCTGTCATAAGTAAAAGGCTGTATGCCCCTTAGTTGGAATTGGTGATTTTGGAAACTAGCCAACTCAATATAAAACTGAAGCAAATATTGTCTAGCTGTTGTGAGGTGAAATGGGAGTATACAGTCCCAAACGCATCTTTTGACTTTTTTGTGTTTCTGATGCTAAATACATACTACAAAGTTATGTAGGTTTTTGTGTGGGTGTATGTGTGAACAATAAAATAACAAGAATGTATATAGTTTCTGAATCTCCTTTTTCCTATAAATCTTGTATAGTGCATGTGGTGATCGCTACCCCTGGCAGAATCCTGGATCTTATCAAGAAAGGAGTAGCGAAGGTTGACCATGTCCAGATGATAGTATTGGATGAGGTAATGTTCTCCACTTAAAGGACTGCTGTGGATGATTGTGGGCATGCAGTTGCTTACACTTTTCAGTGGATGAAGCAAAAGCTGTTTTTGTTTGACTTTCAGTAAACACATCCAGATACTTGTTACCACATAACCAAGCCAAGTTCATTTTAAATCTTTCTATTCAGTGATACATTCTAGAACCATGTAAGAGATATCTCTTAACCCTTCCTTTTGTATCTGCTGCTTGATATTGTTTGCTTCTTTTGAAGTTTGTTACCTCATTGGGTTATAACCTAGTCAACTGAGGCCAAATGTTTTACCTGAGTTAGTTAGGTCTACCCAGCAAGTGTCAGGCCAGTCAAGGCTACATAGATCTAGCAGTGCTTTATACATGTAAGCCTGTCAGTGTTAGTGTTTGGGGTCCATTTACTTTGTTTGCTGTTTGGTTTGTTTTAGTTCACCAACTGACTAATGAGAAATAGAACTAAATATTGTGTCAACATTGGCTACATCATAACATGCTTTTACATAATTTTTACAGTCTAGACCTTCTAGGTATCTTAGACTGTTGTGGGATGTAGGTAACCTGTTTTCATAGTTGAGAAACTGAAGCATGGCTAAGTGATATCCAGTACAGCTAAAGAATAAAATGTTTCAGTCCAAATAGTTTGAATTCAGAACCTGGTTTGGTTTTGTAACAGGGAGTTTTAGTTTGGGCTTTTGTTGCTGTGAAGAGACACCATGACCATGGCAACTCTTATAAATGAAAACACTTAATGGGTGGCTTGCAGTTCATAGTTCAGTCCATTATCATCATGGTGAAACATGGTGGCGTGCAGGCAGACATGGAGAGGTAGCTAGGATATCTCCATCTTACACAGGCAACAGGAAGTGGTCTGTCTCACTGGGCGTGGCTTGAGCATATATAAGACCTCAAAGCCCACCTCCATAGTGACACTTCCTCCAATAAGCCACACCTACTCCAACAAGGCCAATTCTCCTAATAGTGACACTTCCTTTGAGGGCTATTTTCTTTCATACCACCACACAGGGCCTTGCTATTTAACCTAGGCTGGCCTTGAACAAGGTGTATGCCAATCACACCTAGCTCAAAACCTGTGTTTTTGACCAATATATACAATATTACCTCTTTAATGGGATGATTTTTTTTTCTACCTTCCTTTAGGTAGGAACTTTAGTCTGTTTTGAGGCAGTTTCATTATATAGCCCAGACTGACCTCAAACTCTGTTCTCCTGTGTCAGCCACTTGGGTGCTGGGATTACAGGCATGTGCTACTATGCTTGGGTCCTTCCCCTTCTTTATTACTACGGATTTATCTTGGTAACCTTGGAAACTGTATGCATTGAAGAATTTATGTTCATAGCCAGCAGCAGCTTATATAGGTTGTGTTTTACCCTTTGTTTATATGCTAACCAAAACTTTTAATGTCTTACTCTTTTAAAAGTGCCTTTTCTTTGCATTCCAGGCAGATAAATTGTTGTCGCAGGATTTTGTGCAGATTATGGAGGATATTATTCTCACACTACCTAAAAATAGGCAGATTTTGCTATATTCTGCTACTTTCCCTCTTAGTGTACAAAAGTTCATGGTAAGTATTAAATCTATACTTTCAATCAGTATGTATCGTCATGGTACTTAGGAGTGTATGCTTTTACCTGTAGTTATATCTTATTATCAGAGCATATGCTTTATGTGATTTCAGAATTTTCATTTCATGTGATCAGTAAGTATTTGTGCTCAAATTTATTTTTTTAAATGCCTTTATTGGCTTTAAAAAAAAACCTTTATTTTATGTGCATTGGTGTGAAGATGTCAGATCTGGAACTAAAGTTACAGACAGTTGTGAGCTCCCATATGGGTGTTGGGGATTGAACCTAGGTCCTCTGGAAGAGTAGCTTGTGCTCTTAACCGCTGAGCTGTCTCTTCAGCCCCTGTACTTGGATTTATTATAATTGGGTTTTTGTTTTGTTTTTGAGACAGGGTCTCACTATAGTTATGTCCAGTAAACTAGCTTCCAACTCACAAGTCTCGTGACTCTCCCTCCTAAATGCTGGGATTAAAAGTATGTGCCATCACATCTAGCTTATACTTTTTTAATTTCATAAACTGGATCTCTATGAGTTCAAAGCCAGCCTGGTTTTCATCAGTTCCCAGCCATCCAATGCTACCTAGTGAGACATTCTCATTCTGTCTCTCTCATTTTTTTTTTTTTTTAAGACAGGGTACAGGGTTTCTCTCTGTAGCCCTAGCTGTTTTAGAATTCAATCTGTAGACCAGGCTGGCCTAGAGCTCAGAGATCCACCTATACCTGCCTCCCAAGTGCTGAGATTAAAGGCATGTATCATCATGATCTGGCTGTGAGACTCTGTCAGGGGGATGGAAGGTGAACTGTCATTTTATTTATTTAGCTCTTCATCCCAAGGTGACTTATCCGATAGATGCTAAGTAAATTGGTTATCCTGTACACAAAATGTGCCCTGGAAACTACTTGTGTAGTCATGGTTATCGTCCTGTCTCAGCCTTTTGAGTGGTGGGACACAGCATTGTACACCATGCCTATCTCTAACATAGCTACATTTTGAATCTGAGATCCACCATTTTAGGTAATTTGTTTATGAATACTTGTTTTGAAAAGAATGCATTCATTAGAGCAAGAGAGAAAAAACAGTGTATAAATTTAGGGCAAGAAATTGAGTTCAGACACTGGGGGGTGGGAGACAGCACACAAGAGGCAGAGTCAGGAGGATCTTGGAGTTCCAGGAAAACCTTGTTTACAGAATGAGTTTTAGGACAGCCAGAACCACACAGAGAAACACTGTGTGTGTGTGGAGGGAGTGGGGGATTGAGTTCAGGGGTAGAGCTGTTTACCTAGCATACTTGAAGCCTTAGGTTTAATTCCCCAGTACTGTGCGCCCCCCCCTCCCTGGTTAAAAAAAAAAAAAAAAGACAAGTATGCATTTTTAATTTAAGAGAAGCCCGATCTTTATTTAAGACTTCATTTACACTCCTCTCCCCCTCCAGAATTCCCATCTGCAAAAACCCTATGAGATTAACCTGATGGAGGAACTAACTCTGAAGGGAGTAACCCAGTACTACGCATATGTAACCGAGCGCCAAAAAGTACATTGCCTCAACACACTTTTCTCCAGGGTAAGTAGTGGGCTTTTCCTGCTGAGTCCTATCCTCCACTAATTCCAGTAAATCAGACGGTTACATCATTTTCCCCATTGTCTTCATTGTTAGAAAAGTCTTAGTGTATCATAACCAACAGCTTTGTTTGGTTTAAAGTTGAAGATGATTGACATAGGTGCTTTACTTTTACATTTTTACTGTTAAATAATTTACCTTAATTACAGTTTATCCTGATTATTTAAATTCTATCTTTGTGAATACACTAATTGCTAAAATTCATTTGTGACCTTGATATCAGTGCTGAAGATGTTTTGGTCATTTTGTAGACTTGCATTGTAGCAAAAAATAAATAAATAATAATAAAAATTGGTCCTCGATAAAGTCCAAGAAAAGGACAGTCTTCCTTGTTTTAGTCTCATGCTATAAATAAGCATCTATTTTTCAGTCATTGTTTTTCAAATTTTGGTACTGTGATTTCATTCCAAAATGGCCCCTACCTACACTGTTGCTGAAATACTGTCCTGTACTCTTAAGCACAGGAAGACTGACGTACTGAGCAGGGAAAATATGTATTGGATAAACTTTTTGCAGTCATGGGTTATATTGGTTTGAGATTATAAATATATTTAAGTAAGACATTTTAATTTTGTATGTATATGAGTCTGGGTTTGTATGTAGTTATATGCACATGAGTACAGCTGCTGGAAGAGCCAGAAAAGGGTGCAGAGCCCCTGGAAGTAAAGCTATAGGTAGTTGTGAGCCCCAAGATGTGTATACTGAGAACTGAACTTGGAGCCTCTGCAAAAACACTCATGTTCTTAACTGCTGAGCCTTCTCCCCGGCTCCGGTTCTTATGTGCTGCTTCAGTGTTAGCAGTAGCTTTGTAGGGCAGGACATGATTGCTGTGAACATTGAGTCTGTATTTTTGTCTCAGGCAGTTAGGTGGCCCTTAAGAAACACTCTTCTTCAGTAAAACTGGTTCTCGTCAGCAACTGCTTAGTAAAATTTTACAGCTTCCCATCTCTCTGGAAACTCTCAATTTTAGACTTTAAATTTTGGCTAAATAATGTTTTCAGGATTGGTAAAACATGTTTTTGTCTTTCTTATACTTTTGTGCTTAGCTTCAGATAAACCAGTCGATCATTTTCTGCAACTCTTCTCAGAGAGTTGAATTACTGGCTAAGAAGATTTCTCAGCTGGGTTACTCTTGCTTCTACATCCATGCTAAAATGAGGCAGGTGAGTGTAATTCTAGAATTTGCATGGGTTTAACAAAAAAAAATTTTTTTTTTAAGATTCCATAAATACCTATGTGTGAGGATATTTTGGGGTTAGGGTATATGGTAGAGCAAGGTCTTGAGTTCCAATTGCCGGTATCAGGAAAAGAATGAACAAATGAACTATTCTTTAGTAGGCACACAATCCTTCATTTAAACTATCAAACTTAAAGAACAGTATAGAAATGTCACATCTCTCTCTGCTTGAAATCCTAGCGCTTAAGATATAGAGGAGAATGAAGAATCCAAGGTCATTCTCTGCTACATAGTAACTTTGAGATTAACCTGACCTGCATGAAACTCTGGAGAAAGGGAGGGCACAAGAGGAACAAAGTAAAATTCTTTCCCTAGAAATTTCTGAATTTATTCTGTTTAATGCAATTGCCTTAATAGCTAACTCCATGTAGCCATTTAAATTAGTTAAACACAATTACAATTTAAAGTTTTTTTACCTTGGTCAAATTAGTACACGTCAAAGGATCTGTTAGCTCCTTGTGGCTAGTGACTCCTTTATTGAAGGGTAACAATACAGACATTTATTTATTTATTTATCTATCTATTTATTTATTATGTATACAATATTCTGTCTGTGTGTATGTGCCAGAAGAGGGCACCATTACAGATGG